AAAAAACAAGACAATATAAACATGTAAAATTAATCTAAACCCATGAATGTTGGCTGTTTTGTTCCAGGTAGAATTGGTAGTACAATCAACTTAGTTATCTTAAGTGTGCATGTATATAAATTTATAGCTTTTTCCTTTTCCCTTCCTTCTTTTCTCCTTTTCTTATCAGAGTTATTTTTTCCCTGTTGAGCAGTTTCTTACTCTTTCACAGTATTTACTGAAGATGTGGTATCTTATTTACTCTTTCAGTTTTTTACACTAAGGAAAAAGACAAAAAAAGAAACAATATAGTATTTACACATGTGAGCTTGGTTTATTTCACTTATGGGTATTGTCTCAAGTCACATCTGTTTACCTATAATAGCCTAAATGTGATCCTTCTTTATAGCTGAGTAGTACTCCAATGTATAAACATACCATATCTCCTCTAGACTGATTTTCACAGTGGTTGCATCAGTCTACACACCCACCAATAGTGCAGAAGAGTTCCTTTTTCCCCAAAGCTTTTGCTTTTCTAGCATTTGTTGTTGTTGGTTTTCTTGATCCTGGCCATTGTTTCTGGAGTGAGATGGAATCTCAATGGTTTTTTTTTTTTTTTTTTTTTTTTTTTTTGTAATTTGCATTTCTCTAATGACCTATGATGCTGAACATCTCTTCATGTATTTATTTGCCATTTGTATTTCTTTATTTGAAAAGTGTACATTCATCTCAGATGTCCATTTTTGGATTGGTACTTTGAATTTCAGGATCCTGAATTTTTAAAATTTCTTTATATGTTCTAGGTAGAAGTCTTTTGTTTGTGGGACTGTTATCTAAGATTTTTTCACAATTTGTGAGTTTTCTTTTCACTCTTCTTGGAGTTTGTTTGTCATACAAAACTTAAGACAAGATCCCAGTTGTTCATTGTGGAAAATATTTCCCATGCATTTTTATTTGTGTTCATGAACTCTCTGCCTATCCCAATGTCTTCAAGATTTCTATCTACTTTGTCTCCTAGAAGATTTTTTTTCTGTTTCTACATTTAGACCTTTGATTCATTTTGACTTTAGTTTTCTGAATAGTGATAGGCTTGGGTCTAGTTTTAGTTTTTGGCATATGGGAAGCCAGTTTTTGGAACATCACTTATTAAACAGGCAATCTTTCTTCCAGTAAACATGTTTGGCCCCTTTGTCAAACATAAAGTGACTAAATGTGTTTGTAGTTGTGACCATATCTTCTAATCTATTACATTATTCTTTAGGTGTGTTTTTAACTCAGTACCATCCTGATTATATCACAGTAGTTTTGCAGTATAACTTCAAGACAGGGATTGTGATGCCTCCTGCCTTGACTTTGTCGACCAGAATTGCCTTTGCTATCTAAGGTCTCTTCTGGTTACAGATAAATTTTAGAAATGATTTCTCTAGGTCAGTGAGGTATATTAATGGTATTTTGACTGGAATTGAAATAAATCTGTATAATAATTTTGGGAGAAGCCATTTTCACAATGTTTTGTTCTCTCTTTCCATGAACAAGAAATGTCTTTCCATTTTCTGATTCATTTTATGATATATACATCTCACATTCATTGAAGAAAATATATTGTAGTACATTCATATACATTTTCTATTTTAGTATAATCAATCCTTATTTGACCAGGTCAGTACTTTAATATCCATAAGTAATTCTGAAGCACCTTGGGATATAGTTCTCTTTTTTGGTTGGGTCTTTCTCTGGTTTTTGTATTAGGGTAATACTTGCTTCCAGGAATAAGTTAGGGTGAACTGCTTTCCTTTCAATTTCACTGAAGTGTTTGAGTAGAATTTGGATTAAGTCTTCTTTGAATTTCTTATCAAATTCAGCAGAAAATCCATCAGGATCTGGGCTCTTCTTTGTTGGTAAGATTCTAATTATATTTTCAGTTTCATTAACTGAAACTGGGTTATTCAGCACTTTTACATCTTCTTGATCCAGCTTTGGAAATTCATGTGGTTTTAGGATTCTGACCATTTATTCTGTGTTATTGAGCCAATGGAAGTAAAGGTTTTTGCAGTAAGTATTGACGATCTTTTGTATTTCCACAAGGTCTATAGTAATTTCACCCTTTTCATTTCTTATTGCATGAATTTGATTTTTTTTCTTTCATTTTAAAAATGTTTGGCTTAAGGCTTATCAACTTCATTTATTATTTCAAAGAACCAACTCTTTGATTCATTAATTCTTTGTATTTTTTTCTTAGTCTCTATTGTGTTGATTTCTACTCTGATCTTTATAATTTCCTCTCTTCTTTTGGCTTTGGGCTTGACTTGCTCTGCTTTTTCTAGATATTTGAGGTTTAGCATCAGGTTATTTGTGTTCATTCTGTTTCCCTTTATAAGCTAGGTCAGACACCTAAAAATCTTTGAAACTTAAGCTTTACATACAGTGTTGATGTATTTGTCAACTGTATTGTATACGCGAGTCGACACTGCCTTATTTAATAGTTTTTGATCCTGAAATCACATTTTTATTATTTCTTCTTTTTATTTACTCAGTTTCCTTGTGGTAATGTATTATTTCAGTTTTATAGGTAAAGACCTGCTACGCAGAATAAAGTTAAATTTCTAAAATGTGGTGGAACATGACTCAACCTTTTCTTTTCTTAGGTTGAATAAAGAAATTCATTTTTCAGGGACTTTTTCATTACTTGAGAGAATTAATCACACAAATGTGCTCTTATCCTGCAATGGGATAACCTTTTTATCCTGTAAGCAAGAATTTCTTTTGTTAGGAATGGGTAGAGATGAAAACATTGATAATAAAATGGTGAAATTTTCCTCCGCATATCTGTTGAGTAAGTTGTATCACTACTACACTTTGGGTCCAATAATATTGACAAATTGTTTATCAGTCTGCTTGGAATAACTTCATCCGTAAACCAAATATATGTAAGGGTTGCCATGCGTTGCTCATGATTGAAGGCACTGGATGAAACTAATGACAGTTGGCATCTTCATGGAGTATTCTTTTGTAAGGGGAGAAGAAGAATTTAAACAGTCGTGAGAAGCAGTTTGTTTCCAACATGGAAATAAATGCTCTGGAGGAAATTTAAATGGTAACAAGAATAAGGCATGCCAACAGTAGAGGGTTTGACGTGTTAACTTTTCCGATAGGGAAGATTTAATGGAAAGAATGAATGAATTTCAGTAAAGAGTCAGGGGGATCAATCAAGAGATTCACCTGGATCAAAGGAAGCACATTACAAGGAGATGGAATAACAGAAGCAAAGCAAAGGCTACGGAATGAAATATGCTTAGTTTATTGAGCAACAGACAGCAGCCAATTAAAATATAAGCAGAGTAACCAAAGATGGGGTGGTTTGAGAGCCATCATGAAACAAGATGGTGCATGATTTCATTGATCTTTTTAGTTGTTTTAACTTTTATTAGACTAAGATGGAAGTTTCTCAGCAGAGAAGAGAGGTAATATAATTTACATTTTATTGCAATATTGTGCTTTTATTTAAGAATAGACAAAAGGAAGGAACACGGTACATCAAGAGTCTAGAACAACAAAACTTCAGAAAACTTACAGTAATGTAGAACAAAATGTTCAAAGTGTAGAAAAAAATTGTAAATGTTTAAACACAAAGAACAAACAAGATTTTTTCTGATGTACTTGATACAGACGAGGAAGAAAGAATAGAATAAAAGTCACTCTAATTTTTTTAATGAGGAAATGGTAGAAGGAATTGTATTTATTGGGAGGAACTAGCAAAAACAAATTGATGTTGGCTGGGCGTTTCAAATGCCCATCAGCATGCTAAGTGAATATATCAAGAAGATAGTTCATTATGACATTTACTGCAAGTCTAGACTAAAACCTGGTCTTGGCAATCCTGAATGTATAAATGGTATTTAAAACGATAATACAGGATGAAGTCTTGAAGGTAGTCTAATAGAAACAAGAAGACAGGCAAGTTGTGAGCCATGGTGCATTTTAATATTACAAGACAAAAGCAGACAAACTCAGAAACTTAAGAAGACTCAAAATATGTGATCAATCAGGAGAAATAAGCATCCTGTTTTGCAGATAGAAAAAGTTCTTTTGAATTAGATAAAATTTTCAAACTGTTGCAGTATATTCTCTGCCAGTTTTAATTAAGTGGCTGATTTAACCCAGCATTTACTACATTTGGTTTATAGTGGTACTAAATGTTTCATTTATTTCAGGAGACAGTAAGATGCAAATGAACATTATATTTGCATGCCTATTATAATTATATTTAAACATGTATAATATTTGAATGTCTGTCTTATAGACAGATGATTTAAAAAAACAGAGTATATTCACACAATGATAAAATATTTTTGCTGACTACAAAGCACAAACATAAGGAAAGAAAACTAGTAACATTGCTCATAAGTCTCAATATAAATGGACATCCTGGGTTATGTGAATAGAGAGGATAATTATTAATTTTGATATGCACCTTTAAGGCAGAAAAAATATTTGAAATAGGCATTAAAGAATGATTATGAATTTGCTAGAACAGAATGGAACATAAAAATTGTATCAGATCAAAAGGCAGCAGGAAAGATGATACAGATATGTGAAAAAATAGAGTGTGTTTAAGAAAGAGTGATAAATTCATTTGACAAAATTAGAGGGTGCAAAAATGGCAAGCAAAAGCAACAGAAATTTTATGTTTTTTTTTTTTTTTCTTTAGAAAATATCTCACTCAATTTTCCAGGACAAAGAAATAAAAGACAAAGTGAGATTTTTTTTCCAGATCCATACAATGTGATTACCATCACTGTAAAAGAATTTTTTAATTAAAAAAAATAAACCTTTCACAGTCTGGAAAATGCCTCAGACATGATACTGTAAAATGAATATAGATTTGGATAAATATAAAACAATAAAAATTGCTCCCTTTATGTTGCTCCATTGGGTATGGTTTGATTTGAAATAATTTTAGTGGACCTAATTTCTAAATTTCTTAAAACTAATGTCATGTTTTAATTTTGTGTCTCTCCTAGAAATGATTTTCTTTATTACAAGACTGCAAGATCTCCCAGTGAGAGTGGGGCCAAAGCAGCTGGAACATCATCCAGTCCACTAAATTCATGTGAGTACAACAGTAAAAGCTTTCTAAAAACAAATAAAAGCAAAAGTTATCTTACATGTGACTTAAGTGCATTGCAAATGGCTATGTTTGTGAATTAACATCTTTAGTTGCTGGATACTTCATACGGGCCAAACTTAACCAGGGAGATGAGGTCGATGCGTATACCTGTGACAGGGCTCCATCAGGCATCTGAGCACATAAATCGCAGTTTTGCTTGGAATCTCTCTGTTTATAGTAACAGCTGTCTGCACACAAAGCTTCAATAGGCAGCTTTCTGATTGAAGAAACTTGGATTCACTCCTACTTCCCTTACTCTTTGACTTGTACTGAGCCAATTATTTAACATTTTCCTTCCTTCTTTCTTTCTGTATCACCCTGTGCATTAGATGGCACCCTGTAGCTTTATTTCCCCTATGTATCCATAGTCATTCAGAGTCTCTATCAGCTTTTGGGTCTCTATCAAATCTGTATCATTTCTATACCAGTTCCCTAGTTATTACTTATTTTTGTGCTTATTTGATGGTGTTATAATTCATTCACTAGATCAAACATTGCAGGATGCAAAGATAATATGAATTTTTTGACATCCGCAGGTATTTCCATGCCCACACTGGCTCAAACTGCCTGGTCTTGAGTAAGAATTTGTCTCTGAATGTGTCCTCCTTGGGTTCAAACTCTCACTTGTTGTGCATTTGTTTCAGAGAAACTACTTGTCTGGCTTGCAGAAAACAGGAGGTTATTTGATACACACATCAATGAATTTCTTTGGACCTTGAAATATCGATTTCTCTTGACTTATTTTCTATGAGTTGTTTCCCCAAATAGTCATTTACATTTGAACTTAATCTAAACTCTACAATTTTGTGAGCTTTATTAAGTAGCTATTCCACTTTTGATTTGCAATTGTCATTTTCCTGTGTGCATTCCTCCACAGACAAAAATACACATGTATTTTGTCTTTACCACTGAAGCATTCAACAGACTAAAATAAAAACAACCTGTCTTCAACCGATTATACTTTTAACTATTTTACCCCAAGTAGTTTCTCTTTAACTATTACCTTTTACCTAAACAGCTGCCAATATTCTTTGCCAATACAGAGTAAACTCCATCAGTAAGGAGAGTATTCTTGTTGCTGTTTATTTTCATTAACATTGTATCTTAAATGATAGAGCCTTCATAATTAAATAGATTTTAGTTCTTCCTATTGCATTATCTCTATATGATAATTAAGTTTTACTTCAAGCTCTGTATAAATTATTCACCATGATAATCATCTACAATTGCTCCCCCTTCTGTCGTTCAAACCACTGCAACATTTTAACCATAATCTTGTATCCCATATTATCATCTACACTAATCACATTTCCAGACTTTCAGCCACTTGAGGCTAGGACAATTAACCTGATTACTTCTTTTTCCACCTTAAGTTTTAGCTAATGGCTTATTTTTCAATATGTGCTAATGAATTTAATTAATAATTTTAGATATTGAAGGATTTTCCAACATTGTTCTGATTACATGAGCCATAAAACATTTTTCTTGAGATGAAAATGTGAAAAAATAATATAGGGCTGGAGATATAGCTCAGTGGTATAGTGCCTGCCTGGCAAGCACAAGGTCATGAATTTGTTCCCTAGTACAAAAAATAAATAAATAAATAAATAAAAAACACCACAAACAAAACCTGAAATATAATAAGCTATCAAAAACCATTTTGAATTCATTAAGAAATAACTTCAAAGGTTCTAAACTGAGTGGAGTTATATAAGTATTTCACATTCATTGTGATCCATTTATTTCCATAATTATAAATAGCCATGCGTATATTTGTTATACACACATAAACATATATACACTCAGACACATTTATACCCATAGAATCCTCATATAATTCTGGCTGGTAGAGTGCACTGTGACCAAAGATTTGAGCATGATATTCTTGCTCTTTCTCTCTCTCTGCAGTCAATATCACTGAGTCAGTTTCAGTGAGAGTCAATATCACTGAGACAGAGAGAGAGAGACAGACAGAGAGAGAGAGAGAGAGAGAGAGAGAGAGAGGCAAAGGTGTGTACATCAAGAAAAAAACTCCAATGAATATTTTAATATTAAATTTACTGAGATATCATGAGATTAATACAAGTAACTGTTGTCTTCTACAGTTGAAAACGATGCTCAAAGTGGTGCCTGTTAGCTTCCAGACAGTGTTTGGTGTGGTGAACTGCTGAGGTGTCTATATATATATTTGTGGTAGACTGTATATCTCAATTGAGTCCTTCTAATAAACCTCCTGTATTTATGCATGCATATGGAGTGGCAGGAAGCCCCCATCAATGAACAACATGTAAGCTAAGTTATACCTAAAGGCTGCCTATTACAGGGGTATAAACAGATATGTACATGTAACTCTAAAACCTGGATCATAACTACTTGATAAATTTGTAGCACTTGTTAAATAGTCTTAAAGGAAATTAAATTTTCTTCTAGTCCTTTAAATTCCCAATAATGCATAAATTTCAAAAGGGAAAAAAAAAACTATGCAATCCCTGAATATAATTTTTCCACTTTTGCCTTCCTTTTGAGTTCGTTTTTTGCCATTCTAAAACATGTTTTCATTTTTTTGCTCGGATTCTCTTCTTTTGCTAAATCTGAGTTGAATGAATTTGTCCTGTGTTTGCTATTCTAATGCTCTATTGGGAAACTGTTTCCTATCATTATCCACAGTTTCATATCCTAAGGAGAACTTCCAGTCAGTACAAGGTGATTGGACAAATCCAAACACTGTTTGGAGTTTTCTGGGCCATATAATTTAATTTTAATTAATTTTTCTGCTTTCCCATAATTGTGACTTAAAGTGAAATCACTTATTTAAGAAAAATATATTGGATTTAATTTGTTTTTCCCATGTAAAATTATTTAATATAATTCATTTTCAGACAATATATGAATTCAGTTTCCCTTATGAGGTTCACTCCTATAGTCATCTCAGTATTAGATTTTTGCAATATCTAAATAATCCTCAACTATAAACACAAGATACTTAATGACCATGACCATGATATGTCCCAAGAAATATGTTTCCATGTTCTATCATTCTGAAAATATCACGGAATGTACTTATAACTACATCTAACCTAAAGGTGTAGCAATTTTACTTTTATTTTTATTTGTAAGATACTGTATGAACCTAGACCTAATCAGGGTAGGATAGTCAATATCAGTGTCATCATTCACATCTTGTCTCATTGGATGGTCAGGAGCAAAATAAGCACAGAGCTTCAGTCTCTTGTCAGAACAGTACTCTCTTCTGAAATCTCTCTTAAAGGACCTGTCTGAGGATGTTTCACAGCTAAGCACTCTTTCAGAAGCAAAAGGAGTATACACAGAAACACCGATCAATGTAAAGTGTGGTAACCACATAACAGAGGAACATAGTAATTTATCATCATTATCAAAGCTTATGCCCTGTACATAAGTGCAAGTGCTATGATTTTAAACAACTATCGAAACAAATAAATAGCCCACTTGTAAAGAAATATTTCTTTACATATAATTTAAATTAGCCAGTGAAGTCCATCCAGAAATTTAGTTATTAGAAAGTGTTACCATGTCTGTCAAACCTTTCCTGTTTTAATATAAACAAGAGCAAATTGACATTACATCAAGGAGGATATCCAAACTAAACTGTCACTCATGTAATTTTTCTTCTTAGAAAGTATAATTTTGTAGGTGTTGTGCTTTCTATCTAGATGCCCTCCCCACTCCCAGCCTCATGTGGTCAGAGTTGGGGCTTGTTGGGTGGTTGGATATATGGTATGTGCTCCTGGAATTGATTCAGGGTGTGATGCTAGGATTAAGGCTGCTTCACGCTAGGTGGCAGTGCTACTCACCCTAAGAATGAGTAGCTTAGATAAGGAACAAAGGCCAGAAAGTGGTTTGATCACAGCTTGTTACTTGAAGCTCACTGCTTGCTGCCATTCTGGTTTCTGTCTGCCATGGACTGTTTCTTCTCTGCCCCGCTGCCATGCCATAGTGCTTGGAGCAAGCCAACTATGAACTCAAACCTCCACAAACTGTCAGCCAAAGAAATCTTTCTTTCTAGAGTGTCAGGCATTTTTTCTCAGCAATGAAAAATCTAAGACAATGGGATAATATTTCCAACAGTTGATTATTTTAGGCCTTAATAAAACTTTGGACAAAAAAAAAGGGTGAATTTTATGTGAGTGAGTATATTTGCCTCAAAGGAAGGGTGAGTGTATTGGTATCATTGTAAATTAATATGTGAGAATTATTGTAGTGATTTAATATTTTTTTTTCTTTTCAAATAGGAATTGCCTAAAACCAATAGAATTAGTATTGTTTCATTTAGGCAGAACTCAGATGAGAAGTAGGTTTTATTATACAGTTACACAATTAGCTTTCTCAATATTGTATTATAAGAAGCAATTCTTGATCTTAAAATTAACACTGCAGAATATTATATAATTACTCAGCAAAGTATCTGTACAGCATTTGTCTTTTAAATTTAGCTGCTGCTTTGAAAATATAAGACGTTATACAAAAAGGAAAGAAAGAAAGAAAGGAAGGAAGGAAGGAAGGAAGGAAGGAAGGAAGGAAGGAAGGAAGGAAGGAAAGGGAAAGTAAGAAATTACAGTTCTATTATGGAGATTTGAGAAATTGAGAAAAATTTATAAAACTTATCTAGAACAGTATAATATCACCATATTTTCCTTGATTATCTTATATTGTCTTAATCTTAATATTTAAACAATATTTGCCTGGATAGACCAGGTATTTATCCAAAGTATTTATCCAAATTCCTGTAGAGCTTCACAAAAATTCATTTCTTTTCAACAAATATTAGCTATTGTTATTTAATGAAATAGATATTCAATACAGTTCTAAACATGTAAATTGCATCCTTTACAGAGCACCTATTTTGAAATGGTGACTGACAACCTCCATCAATTCTAAGATGTACATTGTTTCTCAATATTTTC